TCGCAAGAAGCGTGTGGAAAAACCAAGGCGCAAAATAACTGCCCATGAACTGAGAAAAGTCAAGCGTGCAGCTGCCACGATGCCACTTGCCACCAGTTTGGCCATATTTCAGAGCTGCAACATCACTGGAGTGCCCAAAAGCACAAGGTGTGCAATACTCAGAGACATGGCCAAGGTAAGAAAGGCTGAAAGACGACCACCACTGAACAAGACACACAAGCTGAAACGCCAAGACTGGGCCAAGAAATATCTCAAGACTGATTTTTCTAAGGTTTTATGGACTGATGAAATGAGAGTGAGTCTTGATGGGCCAGATGGATGGGCCCGTGGCTGGATTGGTAAAGGGCAGAGAGCTCCAGTCCGACTCAGACGCCAGCAAGGTGGAGGTGGAGTACTGGTTTGGGCTGGTATCATCAAAGATGAGCTTGTGGGGCCTTTTCGGGTTGAGGATGGAGTCAAGCTCAACTCCCAGTCCTACTGCCAGTTCCTGGAAGACACCTTCTTCAAGCAGTGGTACAGGAAGAAGTCTGCATCCTTCAAGAAAAACATGATTTTCATGCAGGACAATGCTCCATCACACGCGTCCAAGTACTCCACAGCGTGGCTGGCAAGAAAGGGTATAAAATAAGAAAATCTAATGACATGGCCTCCTTGTTCACCTGATCTGAACCCCATTGAGAACCTGTGGTCCATCATCAAATGTGAGATTTACAAGGAGGGAAAACAGTACACCTCTCTGAACAGTGTCTGGGAGGCTGTGGTTGCTGCTGCACGCAATGTTGATGGTGAACAGATCAAAACACTGACAGAATCCATGGATGGCAGGCTTTTGAGTGTCCTTGCAAAGAAAGGTGGCTATATTGGTCACTGATTTGTTTTTGTTTTGTTTTTGAATGTCAGAAATGTATATTTGTGAATGTTGAGATGTTATATTGGTTTCACTGGTAATAATAAATAATTGAAATGGGTATATATTTGTTTTTTGTTAAGTTGCCTAATAATTATGCACAGTAATAGTCACCTGCACACACAGATATCCCCCTAACATAGCTATAACTAAAAACAAACTAAAAACTACTTCCAAAAATATTCAGCTTTGATATTAATGAGTTTTTTGGGTTCATTGAGAACATGGTTGTTGTTCAATAATAAAATTAATCCTCAAAATTACAACTTGCCTAATAATTCTGCACTCCCTGTATGTGTTACCCAAATCACATGAGTGAATGTACAATAGACTTTAGAAAAGTGGAACACAATGGTCAGACTATCATAAAAACAAAGTAAGATGAATGCTGTGAAGGTACGTAGTTTAAAGCGATACACTTATCACTATAACCATTTCATCTGAATTGGTTATAGTGCCTGGAGTCCCCATACACTGTGTCTCCATTCAGTATTAAACCATTTTCAAGTAGTTTAATACTAAATAAGAGTCTCTGGCTACCTAGAACCCTACTGGATTTATGGCTAAGGCAGAGCTTACACACTTCCTAGACATACCAATTCATACCAGCAATGGACACTGTGAAGAATATATTTATATATATATATATATATATATATATATTTATTACCTGTTATGTATTAAATTGTCACAACTACTAGTGTGGTCCAGCACGCAGAAACTATGTAAACATATACATAAGAAGGAAAAGGAAAATAAAAGGACAGAGCGTAAACCAGACCTTAGAATGGCCGGACTAATACGATAGAGACAGAGAATGGTCAAAGGGAAAGCCGAGGTCAAGGAAGCCAGAAAACACACAATACCGTTTACACAAGCCAAGTCAGGAAAACCAGAATTCAGAATAACCAGGGAAAAGCCAAGATCAGGATACCAGGAAATCAGATTCATAAAGATAAAGCACTCTCAGGAAACCAGGAACAGGAAACCACGACAGGGCAAGGTACTGGGGAGAGCTAGGGATTTAAATATCCCTCTCTATGCTCTGATTGGTCAGTGGGCGACCTCTGACCCCAAAACGTGCGTGTGCGTTGACGTCGTGATGTCACGCGCACGTTATTATAATTTTCAGGGGCGGAGCTAGAGATGGATGCGACCACGCGGTCAGCGCCATCTTTCATTTGGGCGCGACACCCGGAAGACCTGGGGGGGCGGTTGCCGGCTCGCCGACAAGCAGGTAAGCTCGTGCTGTCGGTGAGGCTGTGTCGGTCGGGCATGGCCGTGCCACGCGTTGGGCCGGCGACCGCAACAGTACCCTCCACTCAAAGACCGCTCACCGGGCGGGAAGGACCCGGCTTAGGAGGCAAAACGGGGCGGATGAACCCGGTCTGCAGGAACCCAACAACGTTCCTCAAGACCATACCCTTTCCAGTCAACAAGATAGGACAAGATACCTCTGGAAATTTTGGAGTCCAGTATAGAACAAACCTCGTATTCCTCCTGGTCACCCACTACCAAGGGTGGAGGAGGAGTAGACACTCTAGTGTATCGATTGCAAGTAAGAGGCTTGAGCAAAGATACATGAAATGAATTGGCAATCCTCATATGGGCAGGGAGTGCCAAGGAATAGGTCACCGGATTGATACGTTGGAGGACTCGAAAAGGACCTATGTACCTAGGGGCAAATTTCATGGAAGGAATTTTAAGCTTGATATGGCGTGTGGATAACCACACCTTGTCACCCGGTTGATAGACAGGACTGGTTCCCCGTCTCTTGTCAGCATGGACCTTTGCACATTTTGATGCCTTTTGTAGAGCTGAATGAACGGAATTCCAAGTGTCATGAATAGAATCCAAACGAGTGTTCAAAGCGGGAATATCGGTATCTGAAAATTCAGAAGGGAAAACCATGGGGTGATAACCATGGTTTACAAAAAATGGACTGTGATGAGAAGATTCATGAGTCGCATTATTCCTGGTGAACTCAGCCATGGGTAAGAGCGCATACCAGTTAGACTGATTGACATTAATAAAACAGCGCAAATAGGATTCTAAAGACTGATTGGCTTTCTCCGCTGCGCCATTAGTTTGAGAGTGGTATGCTGAAGAAAATGAGAGTTCGATACCCAACTGTTTACAAAAGGAATGCCAAAACCTAGAAATAAATTGGGTACCTCTGTGAGATACTATGTTTTTGGGCACTCCGTGCAACCGAAAGATCTCTCTCAAGAATATCGGTACAAGATCTTGAGCAGTTGGTAATCTTTTAAGAGGTATAAAATGTGCCATTTTTGAGAATCTATCGATGACCATAAGGATTGTATTAAACCCATTTGAGCTGCGTAGGTCCACAATGAAATCCATGGCTAAATGGGTCCATGGAGCATTAGGTATGGGCAGTGGTTGTAACAGTCCAGGAGGTGACCTAGGAGGGACTTTAGAAACGGCACATATTTGACATGCCCCAACATAATCTTTGATGTCGTTCCTAAGTGTAGCCCACCAAAACCTCCTGGAGATAGCAGAGAGAGTTTTATGGACTCCAGGATGACCTGCTATGAGATTATCATGGAATAAATCAAGTACCTTTTTTCTTAATGGTCGTGAAACATACAGTTTATCTGGAGGTTTCCCCACTGGTGCCTGAGTTTGATCTGCTATTATGACACAGAAGAGTGTAGAAGACACTTCGGAAACTGTAGTGGCAATGAGGCATTCTGGAGGTATGATAGGAAATACCTCCTGTTCAGGAGCTTCATCTGTCTCAAATTGTCTAGACAGTGCATCTGCCTTAATGTTCTTGGTCCCAGGCCTATAAGTAATTACGAAATTGAATCAGGAGAGGAACAATGACCATCTAGCCTGACGAGAGGACAATCTCTTAGCGTCCCCAATATAAGCCAAATTCTTATGATCGGTAAAAATCAGAAGTGGCTCTTTGGAACCTTCCAAGAGATGCCTCCATTCTTTAAGGGCAAGTACAATGGCCAAAAGTTCCCTATTCCCAATGTCATAATTTCTCTCTGCAGGTGTGAGTTTGCGAGAGAAAAATCCACAGGGATGTAAAGGCGCATCAGGACTTTCTCTCTGAAACAGAATGGCTCCTACTCCTTTTTCTGACGCATCTACTTCTAGAATAAACGGCTTGGTTGGATCGGGATGGGTCAGGACAGGTGCTAAGGAAAATAAAGATTTTAATTGTTCAAATGCCTCTCTCACTTCTTTGGGCCATGTTTTGCAATTTGCTCCTTTTTTGGTTAAGTTGGTAATAGGAGAAATTACAGAAGAAAAACCTTTAATAAATTTGCGGTAATAATTCGCAAAACCTATGAAGCGTTGTGTAGCCTTAAGGCCCTTGGGCAATGGCCATTGTAAGACTGCTTCCAGCTTGCGGGGGTCCATCTTGAAACCAGATGGAGATATAACATATCCGAGAAATTGTATCTCCGTTTGGTCAAATTGGCATTTCTCCAGCTTACAGTAGAGACCGTTCTTTAACAGGGTTTTGAGTACTGTTCTCACATGTTTGTGATGTGTCTCTAGGTCTGGGGAATAGATGAAAATGTCGTCTAGATACACTAAAACGAACATGTGGAGGTACTCTCTAAGGACATCGTTGATAAAATCCTGGAATACCACTGGAGCGTTGCATAATCCAAACGGCATAACCAGGTATTCGTAATGTCCCATTCTAGTATTAAACGTGGTCTTCCACTCATGACCGTCCTTAATCCTGACTAGGTTGTACGCACTTCTGAGATCGAGCTTAGTGAAGACTCGAGCTCCTTTCAACCTGCCGAATAACTCAGAAATAAGGGGAATGGGATAGGCGTTTTTTATCGTAGTTCTATTCAAACCCCTATAGTCTATACAAGGGCATAGGTCTCCTTCTTTTTTAGAAATGAAGAAGAACCCAGCCCCAGCAGGTGAGGAGGATCTACGGATATGACCCTTTCTGAGAGCATCCTTTATATATTCCTCTAAACAAAGGTTTTCTTAAAAATTTAAATAATAATAAAATTAAAATATTAATAATATAAAAAAAAATAATATTAAAATAATAATAATAATAATTAAAAAAAATAATAAAAATGCCCACCCCCCACCAAGGCTCTGCATCACATACACAAACACACACTGCATTCATACACACACACACACACTGCATTCATACTCACACACTGCATTATATACACACACACACTGCATTCATTATATACACACACTGTAAATAAATATTCAATTAATATAATTTTTTGGGGATATAATTTTATTTAGAAATTTACCAGTAGCTGCTGCATTTCCCACCCTAGTCTTATACTCGAGTCAATAAGTTTTCCCAGTTTTTTGTGGTAAAAAATATCCAAAAAGCTCTCAGATCGATTCGGTAAAACAAAAGTTATGTTCGTGCATATATGAACTGGCTGCCTGGTAGAGGTGGTATTGTCAATTTCAAAAGGGGTTAATTTGACTGCATGGGAGGTCAGAGCCTACAACTCAAATTCCTCTTTGAAGCTGGGCCCCCAGCAGAGCCACTCTGCAAGGTGTGAGAAGCCACACATAAGTGGCCTGGAAGTCTGGCTTCAGCACAAACTAGCTCTCTTATTTGCCATATGTCCTGATTCCCTCCCAGATAAGGAGTCCTTTAATATGAACAAGCCTTGTATTCCAATATCATATCCAAATGAGACATTAATACCTATCTACAGATTAATACTCAAGCCTCATTTTTATCATATTTAGAATGGGTCAAGCACAATCTTCCAATCAAGCCTAAACATTATTTGCAAACAAGGGGACCCCACAGATTATATATATCATTTTAAAGTCTGTGACCAGGCCCATAGTATGTGGGCAGGAGGCTAGTTGTTATGTCTTTCTAGCAGAATGTGGCACGGTAGCTTCCGTGACAATGACAAAGGGCAGATAATTGAGAAGTGAGACAGCAGGGTCATGAACTATACACAAAAACTGCTTCGTTAGGTTAACGTTGTTTTGATGTCTATAGTATCCCTTTAAGCATTGCAGATTATGTTCCTGATTTAGTGTGCTGGGCTTTCGGTTGTGTGTTCCACTATTCCAGTACACCTTTTGGCGTCCTGCTCTTTAGCGCATGCATGCACAAAGCATGTTCAGCCCTTCCGTCTAGATATGAATCTGCACTGTGAGAATAAATTGTTTTGACTAGACCACTGGAAGTCTGTGAATTATTGATGTTAACCAGCCTGCAATTATCCATTTATGTCTCTATATTTCTGTTGTAGTTGAGTGGGTCTCCCTATTGTCTTAGTTTTTCATGTCTTATTTTTGACGAGTTTATGTCATACCCCTTGCATTCCAACAAAGATAAGAGCAACAACATTATTTGCAAATGAATGGATCAGCTACGCACATAAAGATATTCCTTTCTGGGGCATCTCCTCTCAGATCTCATTTCAGCTTTCATTAAATTAAACCCTAGGGAGATTCCTAGTTTACACATTTGTTTCTCCCAGAGAGGATATCAGTAAACCTCCTGCCATGGGATCCATATCTTATATAAAATGAATATAGTTTAAAGATGTGTGTTTCTTTTCAAACTGAAAACTTCTCAAAGGCAGAGGATTTGTAACGCCACATGTGAAAATGTGCCGGTTTGGGTCGTTTCTCCCACTATCCCAGATTCCCCAGCCTTTTATTTGTACTATTTTGTTCTCTATTTTTTATAGTTAAAATTCCTATCAACACCTAATAAATGCACACTTTTTAAACAATCCTACTGCTTAGAATATCCCACTACAAGCCATTGCATCACACCCACACAACTCAATAAAACAAACCAGTGCCCCAAATTCACTGCATGTGTGAGTAACAAAGCAATAATGTCTGAAAAAGACTTCTATCAACTTTAATCTTTTGTACATTACTGTGTCTGCCTCTGATCCAAAAACTGACAAAATGAGTTGCTTTTCAATGGTTTCCCGAAAAGAAAAAAAAAGGAATGATTCTATAGTGGTAATAGATGTCTTCTAAATCAAGAACTGTTACACTCTATATGCATAACAGCTATTTTAGAAGCATATTAATATTAAAGTATATATCACAGTTATATATAGTGTTGTTGTTATAGTGATTAACTGTGTTTGTAGTTCTCTGTTCTGTAGTAGACAGAGACTTTGATGGGATGAAATCCTCAAAGCAAATGTATATGGTGATTAAAGACTTTACACTGGAATGCTGACAATTTCCAGATCACTAGAGCCATAAAAGATATATATATCTGGATTCGGGACAACATGTGAACATCCATTGACAAAGTGCTTTTTACAAGCAATAAGATAAAACGGTGCCATCTGTAATGTGACTACTAGTCACTAACCTTGGGCCTATGCAATAGCACTTTGAAGGTGTCATTTTTTTCATTTATTTTTTTACTTGATTACAAAAATTAATTAACCAAATAAATTACAGCTGTTTCTCTTTTCGGCTGCATCTAGAGCAGGGATGCTCAAAAGGGAGATACCCAGATCTTTTAACACAACAACTTCCATGATGCTTTGTCATTCTAAAAGCATGCAAAGCATAATTGGAGCTGTAGTTTTACAACATTTGGGGATATATTTGTAGGGCAGCCCTGGTCTAGACCAACTTTACACATATTTATTTATTTATTTATAAAATATTTTACCAGGATGGATACAACTGAGATTTCTCTCATTTTCAAGTATGTTCTATACACACATATATAAATTTATGTTGCCCGACCGACACAGCCTCGCTGACAGCACGAGCTTACCTACTCGTCGGCGAGCCGGCAACCGCTCCCCCAGGTCTTCCAGGCGTCGCACCCAAATTAAAGATGGCGCTGACCGCATGGTCTCTAGCTCCGCCCCCGAAAATTATAATAACGTGCGCGTGACATCACGATGTAAACGCACACGCACGTTTTGGGGTCAGAGGTCGCCCTCTGACCAATCAGAGCATAGAGAGGGATATTTAAATCCCTAGCTCTCCCCAGTACCTTGCCCTGTCGTGGTTTCCTGTTCCTGGTTTCCTGAGAGTGCTTTATTTTCGTGAATCTGATTTCCTGGTATCCTGATCTTGGCTTTTCCCTGGTTATTCTGAATTCTGGTTTCCCTGACTTGGCTTGTGTAAACGGTATTGTGTATTTTCTGACTTCCTTGACCTCGGCTTTCCCTTTGACCATTTTCTGTCTCTAGCGTATTAGTCCGGCCATTCTAAGGTCCGGTTTACGCTCTGTCCTTTTATTTTCCTTTTCCTTCTTATGTATATGTTTACATAGTTTCTGCATGCTGAACCACACTAGTAGTCGTGACATTACGACAGGGCCATGGATCCTGCGGAACTATGCAAACATATGATTGCCTGTGAGAATAGGGTAGAGGATATGGACCACAGGTTAGATCAATTTGCCCAGGCATTTCAGACCTTGTGTCATGCGGTATCTCTTCCGGGTTCGGCACTTCCGCATTGCGGGCCGGCTACGCCTCCTTCTGACGCGGCTCTGACAGTACTTAGGGAGACGGCGCTTGGTGATTGTGGGACCTACTTCTGGGTATACACGCCGGCTCCACAAGCTCTGACAAGCCGTCCCAGCCTTTGAGCCAATGCAAGGATTGCTGCATGCCATAAAGGATTACTGGAGAACGGATACTTTGCTAATTTACAAGTGGACTATAACTCTGAAACAACTCACCTTAACCTTAAGTATATCTTTCAACTATTGTCTGCAATATCATTTATTAATGAACCAATTCCTGCTTGCTCAAATCTTCTCTGCTTCAAGTTACTAATTATATGGAGGACAACTCCCATCATGCTTATTTACTATGAACTGTTTCTTGCTTTGCAAATACTCTCTGCTACCTGCTTAATGTTTCTATTGAAGATTATTCCCAGCAACCTAAAGAATCTTATTAAAAACTTCTCTGTGGAAATACTTATTAATGAACTTTGTATTGTTTGATAACCTGCACTTTCTTCTTATTGGATTATTGCTTATATGCAAATCATTTAAGTTTATCAATTATTAAAACTTTGTTTGATTCTCTAATTGCCAGCAATCCTCTCTTTTCTTAAAACTACAGTATTGATACTTTAAAGATTCTTCGTTTCTTTACTATTGTTATTAAGAAGTTCTACAAGCTGCAGTTGAGTTCCAATCCAAATAACCCAAGTAGCATAACACCTTGCTACAGAGAACTGCTTATTTGGAAGCACCTCCTGTACCACCTGTGATTCCGCCACCTGTAGTGGCTCCTGTGGCACACAAACCACCATCCATAACCCTTTCACCTCCCCCTCATTTTGGAGGTGATTCTAAAGAATTTAGAGTTTTTTTAAACCAAATTGAATACCAATTCGAAGCTTCCCCCGGTTCATTCCCTACAGATAGATCAAAAATTGGCTATCTAATTAACCAATTAACAGGAAAGGCTTTAATCTGGGCTAACCCCTTATGGGAAAGTGGAAACTCCATAGCCCGTGATTACAGTGTCTTCCTAACAGCATTTAAGACTACTTTTGAGCCTAAAGGAAGAGAAAAGAACGCTGCCAAAGCCCTAATGAGAATAAAGCAAGGCAGTCGCTCTGTAGCTGATTACGCCATAGAGTTCAGAACATTGGCGTCTGAGGTTGGCTGCTTTCTCAGAAGGTTTAGCTGAGAATATACAGGATGAGACCGCAGCCAGAGACCTTCCGGTCATCCTTAATGACTTTATTGCTTATATGATAGATATCGATAACAGGCTCAGAGAAACAAACAACGTAATAGACGTCCTAACTTGTCCATAGCCCCTCGTTTCGCTAACCCAGTGGTGATTAGCCAAGCTCCACCTCCAGAATCTGAACCCATGCAATTGGGCATTACTAGACTCACTAAGGCAGAGAGACAACACAGACGTAATGAGGGGTTGTGTATGTATTGCGGCAAAAAGGGACATCAAATATTTTCATGTCCAGTCCGGCCGGAAAACTTGCACACCTAAGGCACGTTCGGGGACCGACCTTAGGTGTGATGTATATGTCCCCTAAATTGACTAAGAACCGTTTCTTTATAAGAGTTACCATGTCTTATAAGAAAACTGCTGTAAAGTGTGAGGCTATGATTGACTCTGGGGCAGCGGAGAATTTTCTAGACAAAGAATTCTCTGCAAAGTTTCTCCTGCCCTTAAGACAGAAAGAGAGACCCATAGCAGTAGAGGTTATCGATGGGGGTCCCCTTACCCAGCCTCTCATCACACACGAAACACGGCCGATCACTGTCTCAGTGGATATTCTACACTCTGAAGAGATGGTTTTTCAAATCATATCTTCACCTA